TATTAGTGTTTTTCCTCCTATCAATTTAGTGTTCATTGAAGTACTTCCACTTGTTAATGTACCATCCTATGCCCAAGAAAGTCAAGACATTTTCCAACCCGAAAAATTAATAGATCAGACGGGTGTCGAATCTTACCCTGGGCTACAAAATGGTGAGTTGACAAACTGGAAGGAGCGGAATACCTAGCTCTGGTCCTCACAAGTTCCAACCTCACGCCCCTCTAGTCATATGATAACGATAACAGCCTGAGCAATGTTGCCAGTCCGCCAATAGCAAAGTGAAGAGGTGCCACGCGAACACTGGCGCGGTATCCATAGTACGGTGATAGAGAAAATGCTTCTCCAAACCCGAGCGTCTGTTCACCATGGAGGTGCGGCTCAAAACGGCGTCAGTTCTCCATGTTACGAGCGGCTGATCACCGTCCTAGAGGCAGCGTGGGACTCTAAACAGAGCTTTGCACGATGGTCCCCCGGCGAGACAAGCCGCCCTGAAAAAAACATAAAGTTGCAAATACTGAACAAAGAAATACGGCTCGGAAAAATAGGCTGGCCCAAATTTATATGGGAGATTTTTTATCATTTTTTCTACGGGCCAACCAATAAATTTGTGCCATTAGGTGAGAAAACCACTCTCTGAAAATTTCAGCTCATTCGGATGTAACACGAGCTGGCGCTTTTGATTTAAAATTTATATGGGGACTAGCTGAGTGTGCCCGGTCTTGCTCGGGATTTAATATTAGCTTGAGTTTATGCACCGAAATAAAAAAAAGCATGCTATTATATACGTAGCCCCCCCCCTATTATCTAAGGGGCTACCCCCTATAATTATCTCCTTATACTCCCACACTCGCCCCCACATGCCTAATTTGGTTCAATTTGCTTGATTAGTTCTCGAGTTATGCAGAAATTTCTGTTTCATTTGTATGGGAGCCCCCCCTTACAGAAGGGGGAGGGGTCTCGAACCATCATAAGAACCTTCCACGGCCCCAAAAACCCCTGTATACCAATTTTCACGCCAATCGACAGACAGACAGACAGACAGACAGACAGACAGACAGACAGACAGACAGACAGACAGACAGACAGACAGACAGACAGACAGACAGACAGACAGACAGACAGACAGACAGACAGACAGACAGACAGACAGACAGACAGACAGACAGACAGACAGACAGACAGACAGACAGACAGACAGACAGACAGACAGACAGACAGACAGACAGACAGACAGACAGACAGACAGACAGACAGACAGACAGACAGACAGACAGACAGACAGACAGACAGACAGACAGACAGACAGACAGACAGACAGACAGACAGACAGACAGACAGACAGACAGACAGACAGACAGACAGACAGACAGACAGACAGACAGACAGACAGACAGACAGACAGACAGACAGACAGACAGACAGACAGACAGACAGACAGACAGACAGACAGACAGACAGACAGACAGACAGACAGACAGACAGACAGACAGACAGACAGACAGACAGACAGACAGACAGACAGACAGACAGACAGACAGACAGACAGACAGACAGACAGACAGACAGACAGACAGACAGACAGACAGACAGACAGACAGACAGACAGACAGACAGACAGACAGACAGACAGACAGACAGACAGACAGACAGACAGACAGACAGACAGACAGACAGACAGACAGACAGACAGACAGACAGACAGACAGACAGACAGACAGACAGACAGACAGACAGACAGAAATTCATATATATATATAGAAGATAGATCGATAGATATTGGTTAAAATGCATGGAGAAAGAACCTCCCTTTACTCTTTTGTGCATAAAACTGGTTCAGCAAACACGTTTAAGCTCAGAATTTCAGCACATGTAGCTTAATATATAAGAAACAACTTTTATGAAGACAGCATCATGGCAGGTTCATCATTTGTTCATCGATTTGAAATCCACGTACGACATAATCGATCGATCGAGATATGGCAGATTATGCCTGAGTACGGATTTCTGGATCAACTGACGCGATTGGTACACTCTCGAGTCCCTTTGAATCTCGAAGGGGGTTAGGGAAACGTGACTTTCGTGTCAGCTATTTAACATCGCGTGATCAGAAGAGCTGGGATCAAGAAATCAAAAATATCTCCAAATGACAAGCGATCAACGAACCAAATGATAACGCTATGTCAGAAGTGGAAAGCAATAATGATATAATCTTCTTCCTTTTTGTTCATGACAAGCAGTCCGTGCGACACAGCTCAGTCGGGGCAAGAAAACGAGCAAATTGTTGGTAAGCTGCTTCACGAAGTAAAGCCGATGATGATACACGTATGTTAGGCTGTGAACCATTTGCCGAGTTAAATTTAATTCGTGGTTAAAAAAGTGACATTTCGAAAGTTATTCTGTATGTTCGAAAATCCTTGTGCTGTCGATCGACCGGTTTTCGAGAAGAACTCAGCCACGGTTGTCAAAATTTAACTTCTTGTCTGTCAAAAATAACCACGCTCGAATAGCAGGGTTAATCGATAACTTTCCATCTGTCAAATTTTAACCAAAAGTTAAAAAAATCCACCATATGGTTCAGAGCCCTTATGGGCATTTTTTTGTTATGTCTTTTCTTGATTCAGATCATGCTGAGAACATAGGACATAGGACCGTGTATATTGCAACAAAGCAGGTAAGCAATAGGGTTAAATACCCCATTTCCGGCCTATTAAGCACAACCCGCATTTAATCTTTCTTAATCTAGCGCAGTTTAGCACCAAACGGAATGTTATTATTACTTATGACTTCCAAATTTATTTACCTTTATGTACCGTAAGATTTGATAAAGAGAAACCAATCGTTGAGATATTGTCAAAAGTCTAACACTGCTTCTTGAAGCCAAACTCGGCCTACGGATTCTAAACTCGGCCTAACGCATTGAAACGCCATTGAAACGCCAATGAAATCACTTCGGCCCATCGGATGAAGATAAAAATTGATTCGGTCGGAGCGCTTCTTTTGTTTTTGGGAATTGTGGGTGCAAACCTTCATATCACGCGTTCTAATTGACTTTGTTCGGTAGCTTATTAACTAAAGTATCGTATCAAACGCATAATAGATTTGTTAACTCTGAAATCATGGATTTATTTGAAGTTTTCTGCTCGATAGGGCCAAACTGGGCGATTAGCCCGAAGTAGTCCTCTACCCTATATCATAATCTTTTCACCACTCCGATTGAGCTATGTTACAGAGCGAGTTTGTCATGGTAGTCGTAGCAACTCAACATGGTTTAATCAAAATCAAATCTGAACAGGTTTAGTACCAGCGCTAATCATTGTTATTAAATGACCAAATAATATTTTTAATGCAATTCATCCCGTTTTAAAAGTAACTGGAAGTCTCTCACAATGTAGTATTTTTTAAATAAACTGTAGGATTGCATGATTTAAGGAGGATACTACTTTAGCTCATTGATAAAGGTAAATCTAATCTTCTGATGGGAGAAGACGATTTGAATATCTAAGGACCGTTTGCTTCAACATAGTGGCGTATGTTCAACACTAATTTGTTCACATAATTTCTACTAGCATTCTACGTCGATCTTAAAATATTACTAAAATTGACTGTAAACCCTTTTTAAACGCGGTTAAATTTTTATTCCTGTTGGGAAGTTAAATTTTTTTGTAGGTATGATTTTTTTCTGATATTTCGACACCAGTTGCATCAAGCTTGGTTTCATATGAATATCGGAAAATAAGGAAATTAAGACCGTATAAAAAAGGGGCTGGGCGTATAACTAAAACTAAAAAATACTGTACTATGTGCAACTAAATACTTAACGTTCCGGTAAAATGTTAATACGGTTTGTTTTGAAAGTGTATTATCGAATGTTGGATTTTTGGCATGGCATTTAATTTTGTATGCAGAAACCCAGCTGTTGAGCAAGTAGTAGACGAAATACGCGTATCTGTCAAAAGATAAGCAATTATAACGGAAATAAATCAATTCACTCAAGAAGCTCATAGAAGGATTCCGTTAAGAGGTTCGACAATTTTCGAAAAAAAAAAATTGGTTCAAGTGTTACCTAGCACCGATTATTTACCGAACAGGACTTCCGAAAATTATTTTCTAAAAATTACCAAAATCTCCGTTACATTTTTTTTGAATAACTTTTTGAAGGTGACGCCATACTTACCTTAATGCATTTTCCAATATTATTCAATAAACTGAATATTGTAAAACTGCGCATTGATAGGTATCATCGCCGAAAATAGTAACAACAGACGCAGATGAAAACACTCTGCAGGCTCAGACTATGTTACGAATGAAGAGAAGATGCCCAGTACCTAGATAGATAAATGTTGTTTATATGTACCGAAGGAGGGAAAATGCGGTGGCATATGGGTGGAAGCGCAGGGCGTGCAAAACTGCAACCACCATTCGCTTGGTATGGCGCAAAAGCTTCGTCGCGTGTAACCATTTAGTAGAGTGATTGACTCTGCACTCTTTCGCTGTTTCGAGGTTGATGTTGTGGCCGCAGCAATAGCTGCAGTTAGTGGTTTGTATATGTATGTAGTAGGTCTCTCTCTTTTGATTGGGTTGTTTGTTGATCTAAGGAGACAGACTCCGGCGGGCTGGTGGATTTAGGGGAAAATGATGTGCGTGGGTAGTAATGTTATGTGAGCAAATTACAGCCTTTTACGCTGAAAAGCGACATATCTCGCCAAGTGGCTATCTATATCATAAGTATTAATTTGCTCTGCAAGCTAATCATTTTTGCTATTTGCGTATGCATTTTTCTTGTACAATGTTGTAAGTCAGCGGACCATGGTAGTAGACTGTTGCAGCAGTTCTTTCGACAGATTTTCTTTGAAACAGAGTGCAAAAACCTTCGCGTGTTTAAGTGGTGGTTGGTGACACACTCTCTTTGTCGCTAACGATGTCGAAATACATTTATTCTCGAGGGGCAAAAAAACGGGGTCGATTAAATGGGACTAGCTTTTACCGAAAATGTCACTTACCGCCATAACCAGCTCAAAAGGATATTTATATATCCTCACGGAGGACTCGTACTTTTGCACCATTTTCCACTGCTGTAATCCGTTTCGATTTCTTCGCAAACAAGAGCTGCTGCCTGGGGGTGGCGGAATTCCACTTGAAAATTTTCACTTTTCTGGTTTTTGCTTCTTTCGTGCTTACACCAAAATAAGTGCGAATCCGTTCGTAATTTTTCGGTGCTGTTGTTATGCTGTAAAATTTAAGCTTCTTGTGCTATATTAATCTTCCAACACATCCGCCATTCCATACGAAAACACTAAAACATTTCCCCAACAGCAGTCGCCACCATCACACGGTAAACAAATGAACGGTGGGGAGGCGTAAAACACACAGGAAAATTGCAAACTTTTCCACCCAGCAGCCTCTTCGGTAGTCGATGTAAAAAAAAATTCAGCCCCGTGATGTCATTCCGCAGGACATTGTTACACAAACATTCGATTTTCACTTTGCGGTACACGTTACGGTAATAATATGATAGGTAGCAGTAGTTACAGAAATTGTTACCAACACGCACAGGACGAAGGAAGGTTGAACGAACGCGGAACGCGATCCGACCGAAAGGAAAACCAAACTCGCTCTGAGCCGAAGATGGATGTTTGAGTGATGTTTTATGAATGGAAACGAATGCGCTTTGATTGCACACATTGGCCCAGGTGGCGAATACGGGGGGACGAACGAACTGTCAAAAACATTTCGAATGGGAGACAACTTTACGCTAGTGCAATAAACTTAGTGAAGACACTTTGAGCTTCGTACACGGTTGATGAGATCAGCTCGAAATTGAGTGGGACTCGACTTAATTTGGTCGAAAATTGGATTCACTCACAAAGCATACGGCTATCACAGAGAACAGACGTCCAACTTCCACCATAAACTTGTCTAAAGATAAGTGGGAACGTCGCCTTTACGGAGCGCTAGCATCTCCTGAATTCCTCTATAAATTTTCCACTTTCGACCAAATTGGGACTAGTGTCGATAAATTTTCGATTGAAAATTACTACTCGGCACTACCGGCACTTAGTGTCTAGTGTAAGTTGTGCAACCCCAGCGCCATCATGTTGTCGAAGAGGGTTTTTAAGTGGGGAAGTCGGCGTTGGTAGCGCTTAAGTTGAAAAAGAATTTTTACATAAATTTAGTTCGAGCCTCAACGTCTGTTCTCTGTGCAGCTATTCAATTAATTATATGATTTGAGTAGTAGCTATACTGAAGATCCGAGAGATGTCACCCCTACAGTGGTAGGAAAATCATTTTTACAGTATGGAGAATATCCGAAAATCCACGATTTGTGACTAAACATGCTTTTACAGAAGAAAACAAATAAACGAGCGTTTACCTTATCACCATAGTAATGTACTCGTGCAATTTTTGTGCATCTTAAACTGCCTATAAAGACGATAATGAATAAAAACTGAAAATTTTCAAGCATTTCCAAATGGTTTCCTACCATTCCCATACATTCGAAAGTGAATGGCCCTCTGGATGTGGATGATGTCAAAAACAACAAAACATGATTAATTGGGTTCTGCCAGCCCAGTGACAGGCGCGTAGGCAGACTACACTGAAACAATTCGACATGTACCGTTGATTGGATCCATCTTATTACATAGCAATGTCAGCAGATTTACGAGGTAAGAAATTTTATTTGCTTTTGCTATGGTCATTCATGTCGGTTTGTCGGTGGTTGGACGTCTGTTCTCTGTGCTTATAACGAATATACGTTGTAAACGAGTACACCGAATACAACGTATGACTCGTCTTATTTTGCATAGCATTTGCAATGTAAGATTAGACGATCTTCAGGGTTCTCGTATACAACGTTTATTCGTTATAAGTCAGGTAACACAGTAGACTGAGTAAAGATTTCGTCAATTTTTCTCATTCCGGCTAATTTTTTAGATTTTCCACAGGAAAACATGAGCGACATTTACTCATCGCTGATTTCCTGACTTTTTGCGATTTATGAGTAAAATAAACACAAATTTGAGTCGTTAACATTTGCCGTGCATTTCTCAGAAGCGCACGCTAAATTAATCTACCTCATATTTGAGTACCGTTCATCACAGAGAATAAACGTTGAGGCTCAAACCACAGAGAACAGACATTGAGGATCGAACAAAATTTCTCTAAAAACTTGTGTAAAGATTCCTATTCGACTTAAGCGCCACTAACGGCGACTTCCTCACTTAAAAACCCTCTTTGACAACATGATAGCGCTGGCGTTGCAAAACTTACACTAGACACTAAGTGCTGGTAGCGCCAAGTGGCAATTTTCAACAGATAATTTATCGGTACTAGCGCCAAATTGGTCGAAAGTGATGAATTTTTAGAGAAAATCAGGAGATGCTCGCGCTACGTAACGGCGACTTTTCCGCTTAACTTTACACAAGTTTCTGATCGAGCTTGGACGTCTGTTCTCTGTGCTCAAACTAAATTTCTGTAAAAGCCACCAACGCCGACTTCTCCACTTAAAAACCCTCTTTAACAACATGATGGGGCTGGCGTTGCACCTTACACTAAACACACAGAGAACAGACGTTGAGGCTCGAACCAAAGAGAACAGACATGGAGGCTCGAACAAAATTTCTCTAAAAACTTGTGTAAAGATTCCTATTCGACTTACACTGATAGGCAAAATAAAGTGCCCACCCCATCATTTTTGAAATTTCTCTCATTTATTTGGTTCAAATTCAAATAAACACACCGTAGTCTGTTTCGATGTCTTACCTTTATTATTCTTTTAAAGTTACACCTATGGAATACTGAAAATATAAAGTTTTACTTGAAGTAAAAGAAAATCAATTTGGATTGAAAAAGAAAACAGTGACAAAAAAAAGTGCCCACTTCAAAAATCGGTATGTTTTCGATAAGTTTCCATCGGAAAACCCCTCGATTGTTTTTGTTTTGAAAGTTTGACATGTATTGAAGCAAACGGGTGGAACTGGTGCATTTGTACACGTGATCGCATTTGAATCAGTTGAAAAAAATGGAGGACGTAGTGATTTCGAAAGCAATTCCCGTGTGTATCCGAAAATTGGTTGTTCGTGATGTGCAAAACGGTGAATCGCACCGGTCTGTCGCTAGGAAGTACAATATCAGCAAAACAGCGGTCGGGAAAATTCTGCAGAAAATGAAATCGTTCGGATCAGTGGTGGATCGCCCTGGCAGAGGCAGGATGCGCAAAACGGATGCGAGAACGGACACCAAGATCATGCGTGAAGTGAAGAAGAACCCGAAGGTAACTGTCCGCGAGATCCAGGAGGCTCTTCAGCTAACAGTTTCCAGTCGAACTGTTCGTCGCCGTCTCGTAGCACAGGGGTTGAACAGCAAAGTTGCTCGGAAGCGCCCATTTATCAGCAAGGCAAACAAAGTCAAACGGCTTAAGTTTGCTAAGGAGCATGCTGATAAGCCCCTAGAGTTCTGGAAAACGGTTCTCTGGACGGACGAATCAAAATTCGAACTGTTCAACCGGAAGCGACGGGTTCGTGTGTGGTGTAGATCGGGTGAGGAGCTTCAGGAGCGCCACATACAAGGCACGGTGAAGCATGGAGGAGGAAATGTGATGGTCTGGGGGTGCTTTTCGTGGGGTGGAGTGGGAAGCCTGGTGAAAATCGACGGGATAATGACGGCAGATTCCTACATCGACATCCTGCGGGAAAATCTGGAAGTTTCGCTGATCCAGACGGGCCTTGAGGAGAAATTCGTATTCCAGCAGGACAACGATCCGAAGCATACTGCCAAGAAGACTAAGTCTTTCTTCCGGTCATGTCGAATTAAACCACTGGAATGGCCTCCACAAAGCCCGGACCTCAACCCCATCGAGAATTTGTGGGCGATTCTCGATGCCAGGGTTGACAAAACTGGTGTTACCAATAAAAATAACTATTTTGAAGCCCTGGAGCGCGCCTGGGAAGAACTAGATCCACAGCACCTGAAGAATCTAGTGGAGAGCATGCCGAAGCGCCTGCAGCTGGTCCTGAAGGCCAAAGGAGGACACATTAACTATTAGGCTGGTATTCTTTTACTTTATTTTATGTTTTCTGGAGTTAAAATGCAGTGGGCACTTTTTTTTGTCACTGTTCTTTTTTACACCCATTTTGATTTTTTTTTCTTCGAGTCAGTCTCTTCTTTTTATCTGGTATTCTATAAGTGAAACTTAAAAAGAATATAAAGAATAAGATATAAAAAATACTACAGTGTATTTACTTTAATTTGAACCAAATAAATGAGAGAAATTCAAAAAATGATGGGGTGGGCACTTTATTTTGCCTATCAGTGTACGACTAGCGCCACTAACTGTGACTTCCCCACTTAAAAACCTTCTTTGACAACATGATCGCGCTGGCGTTGCACAAATTACACTAGACACTAAGTGCTAGTAGCGCCAAGTGGCAATTTTCAACAGAAAATTTATCAATACTAGCGCCAAATTGGTCGAAAGTGGAAAATTTATAGAGAAAATCAGGAGATGCTAACACCACGTAACGGCGACGTTCCCACTTATTTTACACAAGTTTCTGACCTAACTTGAACGTCTGTTCTCTGTGGAATGAGTAAAGGTTTACTCAAATATGTGTAAATGTCACTCATATATGAGTAAATGTCACACAAACATGATTGTTATTTCCTCATATCTGAGTAAACATTCACTCACAGAGAACAGACGTCCAAGCTCGGTCAAAAACTTGTGTAAAGTTAAGTGGAAACGTCGCCGTTACGTACTAAAGCCCTACAGTAAAAGTATGGACGACTGTCACCACAAAACTGAAAAAAGCTGTTCCAATCGAGCAAAGTGGTGCATTTTGACGGTTCGATTGGAATAACTTATGACAGACGTCCATACTTTTACTGTAGGGCTTTATTACGTCCGTTAGCATCTCCTGATTTTCTCTATAAATTTTCCACTTTCGACCAATTTGGCGCTAGTATCGATAAATTTTCTGTTGAAAATTGCCACTTGGCGCTACTAGCACTTAGTGTCTAGTGTAATTTGTGCAACGCCAGCGCCATCATGTTGTCAAAGAGGGTTTTTAAGTGGGGAATTCGCCGTTAGTGGCGCTTAAGTCAAATAGGAATCTTTACACAAGTTTTTAGAGAAATTTTGTTCGAGCCTCCATGTCTGTTCTCTGTGGTTATAATGTCCTTATTTACAGTAAAAAATAGCCTATTTAAAGTAAAAAGCTACCGATAATTTTAGGTAATCGTAGCTAAGAGTGTGGGCAGTTTCATTAGCCTTGCGCTCAAATATGAGTTATATTCATTTGCCGTGAACTTTTTTGAGAAATTGAGACGAATCTAACTCAATTTAGAGTTTATCTCATCGTCCGTGTAAACATGTTTTGTTTTGTTTCCTCAAAAACAGAGGTCGCTATAATCGAAGCTCTCATGTATCACGGCCGATGAGATCAATTTAAAATTGAGTAGTTTTTCACTCAAAATCGCAAAAACGACACTCATAGATAACGACCGATTTAACCAAGTCAAAGTTTAGTTTCGTTCACACAAATTTGCTAAAACGTAATGGAACACGTCCAATGAAATCAACCCAAATTTGAGTTTAGTTTACTCATAAATTGTGCAAATTGTGCAGGAACTCAGCGATGAGTAAATTTGCTCAATGTTTTTCAGGGGTTTTCAGGAAAAAAAACCCCGAATATTGGAAAAGTAAAGATTCGGTTTCCTCAATCTATTGGTACTGTTCCTAGGATGAGTGAAATGCTCGTCAATTTTCCTGATTTTCCGGTAGATTTTTAAGGTTTTCCACAAGTTGTTTATGAGGTAAATTTATTACTGAGTACTTAGGCTGTGAACCATTTGCCGAGTTAAATTTAACTCGTGGTTAAAAGTGACATTTCGAAAGTTATTTTCTATGTTCGAAAATCCCCGTGCTGTTGATCGACCGGTTTTCGAGCCACAGTTGTCAAAATTTAACTTCTTGTCTGTCAGAAGTAACCACGCTCGGATAGCAGGGTTAATCGATAACTTTCCATCTGTCAAATTTTAACCAAAAGTTAAAATAATCCACCAAATGGTTCAGAGCCTTAGAGGTAGTTATTAATTGATTTTGAAGCCGGTACATTTCTGATATGATTAATCGACTGAATTCAGGGCATATTGCACTTACGACATAATAGCCTGGATTTGTATGCTCTATTCTTCGCGCCAAGCTGACCAATGTTTCATGCTGAGCAGTTTATAGAGCATGTCAGAAGAATATCACCTTCCTAAGTAATAAATAACTACACGGCGAATGAGAACGACCCAAATTTGAGTTTAATTCACTCATAATCGCCAAAAGTGCAGGATCTCAGCGATCAGTAAATTTACCTCATGTTTTCCCAGGTTTTTTCCAGGATTTTCCAGGAAATAAAATCCCGAATTTGAGAAAAGTAAAGATTGTATTCACTCAGTCTATTGGTACTACTCCGAGACTGAATAATTTTTTTTTGTCAATTTCCTCATGTTCCGGTAGATTTTTTAGGTTTTCCACAGGAAACCATGAGACAAATTTACTCGTCGCTGAGTTCCTGCACTTTTGGCGATTATGAGTGAACTAAATTCAAATTTGGGTCGTTCTCATTCGCCGTGTAGATCCGGTAATCCAGTCCCGTTTCCGTCAGTACGATATTCAACCTCCGCAATAGCTAAGAAAAACGAGTCGATTTTAGTCCTCAGCCCACGCTCGTTTTGATTTCGGGAGCTGGAAACCGAAGAAAATTTAGGACCGAAAGTTCAAAATCGCAACCATACTCGCTTGGAGTTGTAGGCCGGAAGTCCCCGATTTTTGTTGCTGTGATGCGAAAAGTGAGAAAGCAAATGACAGTGATCTTGCTCGCTGAGCAATGTGAGTTACTCGAGGTGCATCAAAAGCAACTCTGAAATTGCTCATGATTAGGAGCTGTCTTGCCCCTTGCAAGGCACTGTTAAGTTTACTGTAAGCTGTTCTGGTGATGACGTAGTTTTTAGCTGGGCTGCGTTACGCTCACGAGTACCCAAGCTGGGGAAATAGAGCGCCTTTTGAGTGCAACATTTGATCCCAGCCAATATTGAGTAATGCTACAGAAACGTACAGTCATTACATCAACATCAATGCATTTAAATACATCAGCCCAGTCTTGATCAAAAATATACTACAGTAATGAGATCCATCAATCACATTGCAAGCTGGGTGAGATGGGCAGTCAAGTGGTGCAGGTAGCGAGAAGGCCAAGGCCAAGGCAGGATGGTGAGCATCAACAGGTAAAAGTGGTACAGTCGATTCATCGACAGTGTATCAAAAATACACTCAAAACATGTTTAATACGCATAAAAATGCTTAAAGTATGCCAATGCGTTGATAAACTATTCTACAAAAAAAAAAACGAAAAACGACATTAATTCCGGATTCTATCTGTACCACGCTTTCTGGGAGAGTAGTTAGGGTGGAGAACTACTTCGGCTTAACCGTCTATTTTGCGTCAATGGAACAAAAATATATCCATGATTTCGGCGTAGCCGAGTCAATTATTTTTACTTACTTAAAGGTCCTGTGCATCACCAGCGGTGCAAAGGGCCAACGTGAAAGACTTCCATCCTGGGCGGCTGCTCATTTTTGCCTTGACCTGCGCCCAGGTCAGATTCCTATCGACTTGCTTAATTTCCTTATTGAGGCTCCGCCGCCATGAGCCCCTGGGCCTGCCTCTGCTGCGATGTCCTGCCGGATTCCAATCCAGCGCTTACTTGCAGATTTCGTTTCCGCCCCGTCGAAGTGTGTGGCCGACCCACCTCCACTTTCGCTCTCGAATTTCTGTTGATATCGGTTTCTGATGACATCGACGATGGAGCTCGGCATTCGAGATCCAGTTGTGAGGCCACCAGACACGAATTATATACTGCAGGCATCGGTTGATGAAGACCTGCAGCTTTTGAGTGTTCTCCGCTGAAACACACCACGTCTCGCTGGCGTATAACAACACAGATTTCACGTTCGAGTTGAAAATTCGGATTTTGGTGCGTTGACTTATCTGGTTGGATCTCCATACGTTTCGTAAACTCGCAAAGGCAGCCCTTGCCTTCTTGATTCGTGTACCTATGTCGCTATAGGCCCCGCCGACCGACGCTATTTGGCTGCCAAGATATTGGAAACTTTCGACCTTCTCCACTGTTTGCCCCGCTACCGTAAAGTTGGAAGGGTTGCCGGTGTTGATATCCAACGATTTGGTCTTGTTGACGTTGATGGTGAGACCCGCCGCAGAGGAGCGTGCGGCTAGGTCATTGAGCTTACTCTGCATATCAGAGCGCCGTTGTGCTAGTAGAGCAACATCAGCCAAATCGAAGTCGTTGAGATGCTCCATGGTGATAGGCTGCCAAAGCAATTATACGTTTGGTACGATTTAGTTCAAAGGCTAGCAAACATGGGACAAATAGTTTGCACCATTTTTTTCAAAAGCAAAAGTCGTTCACTGAACGAATCCATTTTTCCATTCCTATTTAATCTTCATCCGTAGACCAAAGTGAATCCAATGGTGTTTCAATGCATTAGGACGAAATTAGTATCCGAAGGACGAGTTTGGAATGAAGAAGCAGTGTTATATTTTCAGCAATATTTCAACAATTTGTGACCCTTTATCAAATCTTACGGTACGTATGGAAAGGTAAATACATTTGAAAGTCATCCATAATAGAAACATTGCATTTTGTGTTAAAATTCTTTCGAGAAAGATAGGTTAAGTGTGGGTTACAAATACGCTGCTCATCAGTCGTTATCGAATATGGAACATGAAAGGGTTAGTTTTTTGGGTGGAAATTGTCATTTCTAGCTAGAGCTGGAATTAGGGCGTAACAGCCTTTGTAAACAATGACTTTTATCGATGATTACTAGGAACTCAAGGTATTCCCACGCGAACCATCATAACCGTCGGGTAGAAGAAGTCTTCCTCTATCCGATGGTGTTGTTGATTTGCGTTGGCGAGCCTTAGCTTTCTAGAAATCATCGAATGAAGTAATTGTTTACAAAAGCTGTTACGCCCTAATTCCAGCTCTATCTAGATTTGTTCAATAAAAATAGCATTATAAAAAATATTATGTATTTTCTTGCATAACATGTTTATTTCTCCTTTCAAAAAATTCTAACTGCTTGATTTGCCTCCTCAACCGACAGCTTATGATGCCCCAGAAGATGGGCTCTGTAGTCCTTACTGAAGTTGGATTTGAATGTGTCTTCTTCTTCAGTTGAGCAGTACTTGCATTCGTACAAACATTTTCCCTTATGCTTCGATGTAGAGATGACATGCTTTCGGAGATTTTCCTGAAAGGAAAAACAAACGCACACAAAAGTACTGAGCAATTGTGAAGCAAGATTTACAAATGAATGCTTACGATATTGTTGCAATTGTACTCGCAATGAGGACATTGGAACGGCTTTCGACCACTGTGAACAAGAAGGTGTCGTTTCAAGTGCCCTGGAATCCGGGAGGCAAAGTCACATTGATCGCACCTGTACTTCTTCTCCATCGTGGTGGTGTCATCATGGCGTTGGGAATGTCTGTGTAAAAAGATAAAAAAAAAACAAAAACAAATCACGTTAGTTAAATTATTAAATTAAAAAATACTTTAAAAAAATCATACAAAACGGGGACCTTGAACTAAAGTTCACGGCTCCCGTCAATGGGAATGGATTGTTTTACGAATATCTTCTCTTATTTGATTATTCAAAATAGGCAACACCAACAGTTCAAAAAACAGAAAATCAGTAAAGTACATCCAGTTCATTCCGTGAACCCTCGTCAGTGGTCAGGCAACTCATTTGTGTCGTTTTTTTTCCCGGACAAAACAAGCGACAACAAATTCCATTCCTTTGCGGTCCTGCAAAGTACGGGACAGCAACATCGCATTTACGCAAATCGTAACCTCTGTCCCCGACCGGCGATGGTTGCAAATCTCGACCAATCTGATGCTCGCTGCAGTGTGAGGAAGGTACGACGAAGGTGCAAGCTTGTTGTAAATTGAAATCAGAACAAAGACCGAATGCATCACCACAAAAAAAGGCAAACATGGCAAGAAGAGAGCCCTCAAATTCCATGTTCTGTGTCGCATCGCGTTTCTTCTTTCGGTCTGTATGTATAGCCGGTAGTGATCGCTATTTGCCCGAGTAGGTATTTACCTAGCATAATATGGGCAGCCACAGCAGGCACGAAGGGTGACCCACAACATGAAGAAATACCGACATGCTTCGAAGCGATCGACGACGACGACGGCCACAAGCGCGGTGTTCGATCAAGATGCGTTTGGCAGCAGAACAGCGCGCGCAGGGACACAAGATCACATTGCTCGAAATGAACCAGAACTGGGGAGCTGCGAAAATGGGAAAAACAGACAGGCAAAGAAAATGGGAGGATAGGCCGTGCAAATACAAATGGTAATAGGCAGAAACATGACTCGTGAAAATGTTAGCCGTGTAAGATGTGCTACTTATTACATAGTGCTCTATTCTTCAAATAGTAAATAAAAAAAAACTTAACTAATGGACAATCTAAATTTTATTCCAAAAATTTTCATTAGCAAAGAAAACAAAAATTCCAGAATAATTTCAGATCGTTCTGATCTTATGGAAAAATATCAGAAGAGATAAGCCCCTGAGGAGCTTGAAAATACTCTGTCAAGTTTTGCCAAAAACCTCTATTTAAACAAACATTCACACTTAGCATTTGTAACCGAGATTTCGGTCACCATCCGGGTCGCTACTAGCATTGGGCGATCTTGAGACAAGAATCGATCTTAGTGAATCGATTCATTATTTTTTAAATAATCGATTCACCAATTTAATCAATCATTTTGAATCGATCTTTTGAATCGATACATTTTTCAAATGTTTCAAATATAACGGATCATAGGAAACTTGGTGCAGATTAACGCCAAGTTAAGTCTAAAGTTGATATTACGCTACATAAGGTACACGCCAAAAAAATTATTTCAATATCACATCAAAGTGGATGCACTTCAATCGTGTCTTAAATATGGTGTGTTATTATTTGCCAAAAAGGACAAATTTATCAATGATACAGTGCATGAACTGACATTACGCTGCTTTTACTGCATTTGTTTATTTTTGTGGCCATAAATATTACATAAGATTTTCGACATGATTGTAGTCAGGCCAGTGACAGCAGCATTTGACAGTAGGCAGCATGTCCCGGGTTCAAATAATTTATTTTGATGTGCTGGGCCCGCTGTCACTGCATAACATGTTGCCTACGCGCCTGCCACTTGTAGTGCATCCTCTTGGATGCAGTATTAAAATTAATTTTTTGTTGTGTTTCTTGTTATCACTTATAATAGTCATAATGATTGATATAATTTAGAAATAAATTGTGTAGTACGTACGCAGTAAAAGTTGTGAGTGAGAGTACATACATGATGAGAATATAGTAAATGACTAATTTGATTTCATTTGACATATGGAAGTTTTTGCTCAGGATACTTGATTAGGTGAGTGATTTAACATGTTATGATGAAGTTATGAGTTTGGATTGTTAACGGAATGCTTGAATAAAACAGCAAACAAAAAAATTAAAGGGTTGTGTCCTAGACACGACCACAGTATGACGTCCAACTACGCAAAATTGATGTTTGTTATGCATTTTTGACTATTATACTTTATCTTAAAGTTTTCAAGTATTTTATTGTTTCGGTTATGGTTCAATGTTGGTTCAAGTATTTTTCCTGGAATGTAATAAGTTATGAAAATTCAAATGTGGGGTCCTAAACAAGCCGTTATATATTTTGGAGTAGCACCCCAGTATAGTCCACAAAGACGCCATACATGTTGTGGGATAAAACAATTGACCAATTTGTCAAGCGGTTTTGGCGTGACTTTCTACCAGCGATTGCAAAAAACTGGACCAACTAACTTCTATTTTTTTTATGAAACGCACAAACGATGGCTACTTTTCTTGTGGTTCTAGAAGAAAAAATCTCAAAATATTGTTTTATTTCAAAGTTTGAGTGGTAGTAAACGTTATTTTAATTGCTCGAATAAAGTGGTTAATTGCCAAAAAATACGTAATTTTTTTTTCAGCAGCTCCAACATTAGTTTTAAATTAAGATAACGCAGCAGGCAGTTGCTCTCCTTATCAGAAGACGGTACTTTCAATATTGAACAAAATGTTGGTTCATATGTCAGCGAAGTATGGGAGGAAATGGTATAACGATCCTACGGGGTTTAAGCACCTCTTTGTTTCCAATTTGGAGGACAACCTTAACATAAAATTATCATGCATTATCATTATGTAGCTTAGAATGATACAAAATATAGTACTGTGACTTTTCTCAAATTGGACTTTGGTTTCCTAAAAGTAGGTGCTTATTTCAATATTGTTTGAAAATTAGGGGGATTCAATTATTGAAACCATTGAATCACATTAAAATTCAACAACAACAAGTTCAATGGCAGTTATTATTAGGAATAGCCAGGATCCAGTCAATTTCGGGAAACCCCTAGGAAAGTAGCCAGTTTTAGATTTGGATCAAAATCCATTATGCGACGATTCAAATCACATGAGAATTCATCTACTTCCTCTATGCTCGGTTTAAGAAAGTTGTAGGAAAGTAAACAGAAAATTCCCAACTAACAATTTTCGCAATGTAAACGCTTTACTCATTTCATTTATACAGCCTCAAGCTGTATTCAAATGTTATACAATATGAGGAAACCTTTACTCAACCTCTATACAAGCAAATCTGGCGAACTTAGTCAGCTACTTATGCCTGTTGGAACGGTCGGGAGAAGCTCTTATTGCATATCCATTAACGCTTCTATACAGCTGTTATCCTGCTGTTTAGTTGTATGTGAACTTGAAAGGCGCTTATTCAACCTTTTCCCGGTTATCCAATAATAACTACACAGCTTTCTCTTGAAGCCGGGTTAAATACTGTTTACGCTTTTTTATATGAAGGAATTTATTGAGTTTATTATGCTGTGAATCAAATTAATCGAAATTAGTTACAAATCGTCACCAAATTATTTACTCTGCACCGGAACCTGGAATCGAACTCGAGACGACCTCATTGGCAAACCGTGACACTACCAACTGTGCTACGCCAACACTTTGAACTTATGTAAACAAATCAACATTCCCTTCTACAACAAAATCGCTGAGTAGAGGCTTTATAATAGTACACATGAATCACTTTTCTCGACTAGTTATAAAAGAACAGAGTAAAAGCTGTAAAACTGCACACGTCTAAAAATAAACCTAGTTGACTGTGAAAATGCTTCCGAAGTTGCTCTAACACAGTTTATAAGCTGAGTACAGGTTATTTAGTTGTTGAAAAAGCACTTTTGATGTTTATGTTATTCAGCAAGAGTGGTTGGTTGTGTAGAAGCCATCAAGTAATGTGTATGAGTAATATATTTACTTTGTTAGCTTTGTTTTGCAGCTACTAGTTGAAAGTTGGGTAGTGTGTGTATAGAAGTGACATTAGCGTTTATTGGCTGATGTTATTCAGTGCGACTGACAAATTGAATAATGGTTGTGAGAAAGTTGAGTAAACGCTCTCCAAAACTATTTTGCTAGCTTTTGCTTGTAGCTGTATCTGCAGCTTCTTTTCAGCTACTTTACAGCACAACGCTGGAAAAGTTGGCTTACAAAGCTGAAAATGTTAGTTGGGTTATGTTTAGCTATTTTTGAAAACATAATAAAACCAAAATTATGTTAATCATTAAAACAAATCTTTTTCTTTATAGTTATGAGATTTTTGAAGAAGTTTCTTAGACTTTCTTGGTTGGTTCAAAGGTTGTTACAAATTAATTTGAATTTCTTACCTCGAGTTGCCTTCCTAACGCAGGAGAAGGCGTCCCAACCAGTAGAGGGTGACGCATTACCTCTGACTGCTTTCATATTGGCTTGATTACATCGAACTCTCTCTGCAGCGGTCTTGTATCGTTTCGGAGAACCGTCTGCCTGACGATCCTTCGCATCCAACTGACTGTAAAACATATCTAGTACCTCTATATATGCAATTAGATTAACATCCGAAGTCCATCCTTTTTTTACATATTCTGCACAAAATATAATTTCTAAGCTCCGCCCCTACATGATTTCCCGCCGTTTTTTATGAATGGGGTGGTACAGAAAGTATCTAAATATTTGCATATAAAGAGGTACTAGATATGTTTTACAGTTAGTTGATGATAAATCACAAACAGAATATCATCAAAATGCAGTCATGAGCGAATTTTTCGCAAATGTCATGTCGTGGGATGTTTTGTATAAATAATTTCCGTGTTGAAGCTGTCGCTGTTTGTCAAAGTGATCACGCCGTGATCCACCTCTAGGGAGCTTTTCATTAACTACGTAGACAGTTTCTGAGATTCTTGCCCAAAAATTTAATTTGTATGGACCGTGGATATTGCTAACACCCTTCCCCCTAACTGTCTACGTAGTTAATGAACAGCCACTAGGAGTGTTTACATCTGTGCGGGTTTGCTGGCGCCAAGCCGTCCGAAGCGGTAATGAGCAGAAGCACAACAGCAGCGCTGTTTTA